GCTTCAGACGCGGCCCGAGAGGTATAAAGTGCTTCTCGTAGATCTCGAGTAGTGATGGCTTCACATTAATGGCCGCGTGACTCAACAACGGGAACAGACCATTGGAGTAAATGCTCAACTCTTGGATTAATCGGTCGGTTCCAATACATTTAAATATGAGATCATAGGTTTCCAACGCTTTCAAATGGACGCCCGATGGGAGGGCCGGATGCATGGTTTGCGCCAAACGCTGGCCAACAGTGAATCGGCGGGGGATTACACTGTACTTCACGTTATTTAACAGCACCTATGGATGAGAGCATCAAAACAAATGGATGTGAGAGTGAGTGGAGGGGCTGGAAGTGGTGGTGACAGTACCTTGTTCAGTTTTCCCAGAGCGTTCACCAGATCTGCCCATTCGGACGTGTATTCAAAGCCCTTCAACGCTCTGTCGATCTCCTGAACATATTTACGATACTTGGCGTCAGACATGAGCTCGTATTCATCCAAAGAGGTTGTGGTCGGACTCCGAGATATCTTCATGTTTGTCGTGTTTTACCACCGATTCATACGATAACGTAATAAATATATAAATAATTCAAAGCAACCAATCGTTTCAATACAACTAATGTCTGTTTGGCTGTAATCTCATAGCATTTGGTCGACAATAACAGCAAATCATAACAATAATAGCGAATAAAGCAAAACAACACAACAATACTGACGACCACTACATGTTTGCCGCAAACGTGGGATCAGTTGTCCACACATTGGTATAGAGTCTACACATTATATACAATCAATTCAATGGCAATGTTTGGCATTAGAGTCCACACCACTCAACACAAGCACTCGTATCGGCGATTCACCACTCGTTTCGGTTCCGCTATAAACACAGTGTCTGTGAATCGACTGAGCGTTCGATACGTATTGCAAAACACAGTCCTCTCAACAGTGAAGGCATACAAAACACATACAAATGCAATACAAATGCCTTCAGACGAGTCACTCAATGCAATGCACGCAACCGTACGAACACAACAACACATCACCACTCAATCCATTCCCTATACCATAGCCATAGAGTTACGCCTCTCTTACAACTCAAATCCCTATTTCTCTCTTATTGACAGCTTGTGTGCAATATTTACCCATAACTCTGTTATCTGGTTAATAGTGTGCCCAACTGTCACTGTATCGGATCTCCAATCTAACCCTTTACTCGGCCACCACTTCACACTTCACACTACGCTAGAAATTAGTGGTCACTAAAAATTGCTCTCATTTTTGTCTAAAAGATTTTCAAAACTCGTTTAAAGCCTTACATTCACTCTAGAAATCGTACAAATTCTTGGATTCATTGAAAGCACAGAATTTTGTTTAGCTTTTCAATTACATTGCATTCACTAATCAAGTCGTGAATCAAATTAATTATAATTTTTCGTATAAATACTATTTGTTTACTAGTTTTAAACAGAATATTCTGTCCACTGTTGGTAACATTTTGGTAACTGTTATTACAATTATTATATTGTATTTGCAATAAAATGAATTATTGTTTTGG